ATCAATCAAAAATAGCTTTAATATTTGAAAAATTGAGTAACAATAACTTATATAAATATAGCTTGTATCTTAGCTTAGCTTAGTATAGCTTAGCTTTTAGATTTAATAGCTCTCAGAATCTCAAAAATAATTAAAAACAAGTAATAAATTAATGATAAATTTATCTAATAATAAAATTATACTTTATTATTATTGAATTATGATCTTATAATGCTTGATATATTATATAGATTTGATTTGATTGTATTATACTCTCCCATCTGTCATTTTTAATAAACTTTACTATAATTATCCTAGCCAAGTAACTTATTATAATGTTATTAAGCACTCACCAGCTCGCTCAAAAACTCATATAAAATAGTAATAGTATTCATTAATATAAATAACATAACAAAACTGAATTATTTACTGAAATACTATTTTTTTCAATTTAAAAGATCATCTTTAATCTATTTATAAATTACTATAAAAAATATAACTATCTTTGAATATTTTTGATTTTATTTTAGCTAATTAACAAATGAATATATATCTTATAAACTCTAAAATTATATAAACTAATAATAATATTTGTATTTTTTTCTATTTAAAATTATATCTTATAAATTCTCTTACTTGACTTAATATTATATGTTATTCATATGTTTTTTTTTATAACAAAGCTCAAATTCATATAAAATAATAATATTATATAAAATTTAATTAAAATTAATATAAAATATATATAATAAATAATTTAATTATTAAATTTAATTTTATAATAATTATTTTATTTAATTTATAAATTTAAAATATATTTTTATTAAATATATAAGTTTTAATATTACAAATTAAAATATATTTTTTTAAAAAAAATAATTTTTTATTTTAAAAAGTATAAAAGAATAATAAAAATAATATAAAAAGTTGATCTAAATTATTTTTATTTAATATAAAAAAATTAAATAAATTCTAAATAATTTTTATTAGAAGCAATTATTAACTTTTATTTTAAGATATAAATTATTTTATATTGAATTATAATAATAATAATAATAATAGAAAATTTGAATAGAATTTCAAAAAAAAACCTGGTTCAGTTCAAGTTTAATTTAGTTTGAGTTAAGATTCTAAAAATTGAAATTAGTATTCCAATTAAATTAGATTAGAATTAAATCTGAACTGAAATATTTTAAATTAATCTAAAAAATATTATTTTTTATTTAATATTAATTGGAATTAAACAAAAATTTGTGAATATATATACAATTATATTTTAAATAATGCTACTTAGACACAAAATATAAGTGTCTTAATAAAAATAAAAATTATTAATAAAAAATTATTTTATGATTTTTAAATTAAATTTAATCTGAATTTGATCTGATTTAAAATTATCAATTCAGATTAATCTCAAATCTGATCTAATCCAAATAGAGTTTTAAATAAACTTATATATTAATAAAAAATATAGATAAGTTATAATTTACTTGATAAATTTTATATTAAATCAGAACTAAATAAAATTGAGAACTAAATTATTAGAATTCTTAGATTAAACTCAAATCTAATCAAAAATCCAGTTTAAAAATTTGAATTTAATTAAAAATCTAATTTAAGATTAGTTTAAATTTTAAATCTAATTAAAACTTCAATTTAAGTTCAAGTAAATATTCAAGAAAATTCTAAGTAAACTTGTAAATTATAATTAAAACTACAAATTAATATAAAATAGTTAATATTCAAAATAAATATTCAAAAATTATATAAATTTAAAAAATATTTTTAATTATTACAATTTTTGATTAATATAATAATACTTTTTTGCTTATAATTTTGTTATTAATTATTCATTCTAAATAATTTTTTTATAAAAATATTATATATTTTATTTAGAATTTATTAATTTTTTCTTCAAGTTTTAATTGGTTAATAATATTAAAAATTAATTTTAATATTAGAATTAAGAGTTAAAATTAGAACTGAAGAAAAGATTATATAAATTATTTTTCTGATATTTTTTATTAGTATTTCAAGCCAAATTTAAACATTTATTTCAAAAATAAAATTATTTTTTTATAAATATATTTATAATAAAATCTTATTATAATTATATTAACAATTAAAAATAACACAACAACAAAAAAGTTATTAATAAAATATAATAAAAATATAAAAATATGAATTTTTATATAAAAATTTTTAATTTTATTAATAAATATTTTTATATAAAAGAAAAACTTGTATTTAAAATTTATTTAAAATTAATTTTGTTCAAATCTATAAATTTTTTATAATTACATTATATTTTTATTATATAAATATATTACCTAAATTTTATATTTAATTGAAAATATAATACAATTTTATTATATCTAATTGATCCAATTATCAATATTGAATATAATTATAAAAGAATTAAAAATTTCTATATTAATTAATTTTTTAAAATCGATTTTTTGATTGGTAAAATTATATTTAATTGCTAATTTATCAATAAATAATTGAGATTTAAACTTTCAAAAATTTATAATTAATTTCAAAAATAATAATATTGTTTATCATATAAAAATTTTTTAACTAAATAACTTGAAATTTTTATAGAAAAAACTTCAAGATTTAAGCTTTTTATTTTATGAAAAATAGTTTTTACTCTTTGGTTTCAAGTACAATTACTTTTGATTTGAGTTGATTTTTTTTTTACTTGTAAAATATATAGTAACAATCAAAATAATATAACAATATCAAAATTTATTAATTAAATATAGTAAAACATGGATTTTTTTTCTTTATATACAAGGTTTTAATTTTACTAATAAATATTTTTTATTTTTATATAAAATAAAGATTTAATCTGATAAAGCTGTTCTAATTGACTTTAGATGTAATTAGAACAACTTGATCAGATTAAATATATGTTAAAATATTTGATATTATCTTTATTTTAATATAAAAATAAAAAATATTTATTAGTAAAATTGAAAACTTGTATATAAAGAGAAAAACCCATATTTTACTATATTTAATTAATAAATTTTGACATTATTTTTTTTTATTGCCACTGTACATATGTGCTTTGGCCTGAATTATGGCTTAATTTCTTAATACTAGCTACTTACTCGTGAAGAAATAGCGATAGAAAGTGCGTGGATTTCACGATTAAAGATCATCTCGTTCAAGATAAAGATAGTGTTATCGAAAATTGAGTGGTGGTTCTAAACGAAGTCATTAATCTAAAAAAGGAACTTGCACAGCAGTATCCAATTTCCAAAAACTTCTAACGCTAATTGTTAAATGCATTGAACAGGGCAGAAAGACCCTGATAAAAAGAAAAGACTTGCAACCACAAAAACAGCGGTCATTTTTTTGATGCTGTCATTTCATTAACTTCTTGTCAAGTTGAATATGTCTGGCTACTTTTCTGATGTAGCTATCATGTAATCACCGCGTTCGTTATTCAATCAAAACAGTGTCGTTCTTTGGTCAGAATTATTACTCTAGAAAATTCAAAGCTATATGCTATGCATTCCTAGTTCCCAAACCTCCCAGTTTACATAATGTTTTAAAGTCAGCCTCGAGGATTATCGTTATTGTTATCTTAATCATCATCCGAGTGCAAAATTCACAAAAACTTGTAACTTAATGTTTTTGAGGCATAAATACTTCTCTGTAGAAACTTCAATAAAATCCAAAGTTTTAATTCTTTCATTCAATTATTTCGCATTTAAATTTATAATACACACACTACATCTATACATCATACAAACATTATGATTTTTTCCGTCTAGCCAAAAACGAATTAACCGGTCTTCCATCTGAAATAACTTCGATCCTATCCACCAGTATCTCAAAGTCTTTTGAAAAGACTGTAGCCAATTCTCCGGGTTCTAATCGATGCGCAGGACTCTTTGGTTGCGAGAATTCATGTGTACCGTCATTAACAAATGTACTGATCATCAAAAATCCGCCAGGTTTAATATGCGAAGGGATTGTGGGGAAGAATTCTCGTGATAGAAAACGAAGTGTTAGAAGTAGGTCGTAAGATTTTTGATAATTATTTTCCTTGTTACCATCATGATTATTTTTATGATCACTGATTTTATGACTACTACCAGAATTCCTGATTTTCTTGATTGTCCCATCGGGCATCACTTTAGCACACACAATATCGATGTTTTGTATGACGCCTAATCCAGTTGCAAGTTTTTTCGTACGTGCAAGAGCAGAAGGCCAGTTATCTAGTGCTGTTACGTGCCAATGATGTGCGGAAGTTTTACGAGAAGAACAAAGCCATACAGTGTCTCGACCACTTCCGCAACCAATATCTAAGCAATGTAAAGTTCTCAAAGAGACAGGATTCGAAAGAGAACAAGAGGAATCAAACGGAGGAGCAGCAAAGGAAGGAGGAAAGTCAGATAAAAGTGTTTGTTCTATCGTTTTTATGTTTTCTTTTAAAAATGGGTTTGGTTGAAATAATGTCCATCGTTTAATAAACGGACTAGAAAAAGATTCAAGATTGGAAATTGTTTCTGTATCTATTTCTTCGAGAACGTCAAATTCACAAGCAACACTCCAAAGTATTTCCTCTTCTCCTTTGTCTCGCTTCTTTTCATCACCACCACCATTACCATTAATAAAGTCTTTTTCCTCTTGAATAACAAAAATCCAAGGCACACTCCACCCATTATCAATTAACATTTTCTTCGTCACTCCTTGCGCATCAGTCGGTTCCAACACGGCGAATGGTATTTGTTTCGGTGGTAACTCGTACCAATGTTGTTCTAGTTCTGTATACGGAATACAAGTTGAAGGGATGATGTGTCGACGCAGATGCATTGACCAAGGACGAAAGTCGAGAAGTAAACATGGGGAAGAGGTGAGCCATGATTTGAATGTTGTTTTGTAGAATTGTTTTTGTGTGGTTCTCGATATTATTGTTGTGGGGCTGCTGGTGAACATTTCTTGTACGGGAAATGTGAAATAAGATTTTGTAGCACAAATTAATAAATATGTGCCAATCAAATAATAAAATATTACGACGAAAACGGCATGAATTTGAGGTTTCTTTATTATTAAGATATAACGATAATATAATTATCGTTAGAAATAGCCATCCATAAACAATCATCAATACATATTAAATAAACATAAAAAAGAAAATGTGCCACTCCAATGATAGTAATAAACCATAACAGCACCTTATGTAAGGTGACTTTCAAAGATTAATACCATAGGCTAGTGGTCTATTTTATTTTATCTTTCCCTCTGTTTCCCCCGTCTATCAAAGATTGAATTTTTCTCTGTGACGGTGAATAAGAGGGATATCTTTTTTCGAGCTGGAAGAATTTTATATGTATATAATTTTGGAAGAAAGCAGAACATAAACCGTATTAACATCCGAAAAGAGGATTTTACTTGATTTTTATTCTTTGAAAATAATTATTTACCGTTACAGAAAATAATACATGTAATGATGGCAAAAAAACGACGATAAAAAATTTTAACATCCAACATCTTTTATCGTCTGGTTATTACCCAAAAGGAGATGGTCTCGTGGTATATAATGGATGACCCTGTGATCCTTCTTTGGTGATACATGTGATACCAAATTAAAGGTTTTTAAAGTTTAAACAACTGGTTATACTCCTGATTCTGAATAACGAAATAACGATAAAGAAAAAAGAATCTAAATCAAAATTTTAGTTGTGCATTAATCTGTCAACATCCATCACGCTATTGTAATACAGTGGATTAAAAAAGTGAATAATTAATGAATAATGATAAATCAAATCGTAAAAAGGTATTTTTCACGTCCTAAGGTATGTACTACATGCAGAAAACGCAATTTTATTTAATATATGCTCAATTACATATCATATATGTACAGTATATGAAATTTCTGCTCATTATAATGATAACAATAACGATATTTTCCACTGTACGTGTACGTAAGGGGGAAAGAAAACGAGACGTAAAATTAGTTTGGGATATTGTTATAACCACACACTACACTTTTCATTCCATCATTGATAGAATATTTTTGTTCCAAAATTCTTTATTGAAGAATTTTATAAGAGTGATCTTTATTATTACGTGCGTGTGAAAGTCTGTATTTAAAGTGTTTATTAATACGTGTGCGTTTATTTACATGTATGTGTATGTGAGTTCTGTACACAGTCAAAAATTTCTAAAGTAATTAATATTTGTAGGTTTAGGTATTTTCTCTAAATCTTTAGTTCGGGTACTCTCTCAATTCTTTCAATCGTGAGAGTTTCCTGACTCAACAAATCCAAACAACGAACATTTATATTATTCATATTACCACTTGCTTACTAGTCCCCTTCTTGATTGAATTTCTTGGCTAAGAACGACGACGACTACGACTACTGCTACTGCTACTGCTACTGCTACTGCTACTGCTACTGCTATTGCTATTGCTATTGCTATTGCTATTGCTACCACATAACAATAATAATGGTAGTGGCATCAACAGCCCTGGACCCACTTTACCACAAAAACAATATAACAAAAGATGATTACATCAATAACGATAAAGATGATACCAATTCACTGCTTACCACATACGATGGAAGCGGGGCACAGCTGTGGTCGGGTGCCGTACCTATCGCTGGGGCTTTGGCATTGACTGCTACAGCTCTTTCGATTGTTTCGATATTATCCCATTTGAAAAACTATAGGAAGCCGGTGAGTGGTTTATCGTGAAATATTTAATGTATAATATTATCTGATCGATTTAACTTCTGGTGGGTGATAGCATCTACAACGATTCGTTGTGCGTATTTTAGGAATGTAAGTGTAGTTTTTATTTATCCAAGGAATTGACTTTTTTCTCTTTAGTTAATCGAATTGCCTCTTAATTTTTAATCGATCAGGGTACCGATTTATGCCTTAACTTCTTGGGCAAGTCTAATTTCACTCGACGCTGCTTTCTATTTGGATGCCGTACGAGATATATATGAAGTAACGTGTCTTGGCATAATGATTCATGTTAAACAAAATCAAGTTATACGAACTATTAAAATAAAATATATCTGCATCATCAAAATGACCCATATAAAATTTAGGCATTTGTAATATACTGTTTTTTCAACCTACTAATCAATTATCTGGGTGGCGAACGTTCACTCCTAATTCTACTTCACGGTCGCCCGCCGACGCCACACGTGATACCCGTCAGTCTCTTCACAAGAGAGATGGATGTCGGGGATCCGTACTCATTCCTATTCTTGAAACGTGGAATTCTTCAGTATGTATACATAAAACCGATTCTCGCCGCTGTCACTCTGATACTAAAGTGGTTTGAAACGTATCACAATGGTTTGATCGCGGTGCAGAGTGGATACTTTTGGGTGTCGCTTATTTTCAATGTTAGTTGTTCTTTGACGCTCTATTGTTTGGCAATGTTTTACATGTGCACCAAGGAGGATTTGAAGCCGTATCGGTGAGTGTGGATTAATGTGCCGTGGGAAATTTGTCAATTTTTTATTTCTCTAATCTTTTTTTGGAATGGATTTTTGATTAGACCGATACCGAAATTTTTGTGTGTGAAAGCAGTTATTTTTTTCTCTTTTTGGCAAGGATTCGCTATTTCTATGTTGGCATGGTTAAATGTAATACCTGGTAAGCAACTATCAAAACTGTGTTTTTTTTTTACAAAATATATATTTTAGCATTGACACATCGAACTCTATTTTTAGCCGATGAATACATTTCGGTAGCTATTCAAGATTTTTTAATATGTGTGGAAATGGTTGCTGCTGCAATAGCACACTGGTAATTGAAATATACATTCTTTAATTCATCCCTCCATTTCTATTATTAATAAAATGATTACCGAAAAAAAAGGTACGCATTCTCCTACAAAGATTACTACAACCCGTACGTGCTATCGGCTCGTATGCCAATGAAGTACGCGTTAAAAGACGCCATCGGAATGAAAGACGTGATCGAGGACACGCTCGAAACACTACGTGGCTCGCGATTCAACTACCGAACCTTCGAGCCGGCCGAAGGCATGGCACACATCGGGGCTAGTAGGACTTCGCGAATCATGGCAGGTCTGAGGTACGCTTCGGGCGGCGCAAGCAAATACTGGGTCGCGGATCCGAATCAGAGAACCGCGCTGTTGAGTGGGGGAAGTACCGTTGGTAATGTTGGTCATGCAGAAAATCAAGATTACGATTTGGATTTTCCGGATCATCTTGACGAGGATGTCGAATCTATGTATGATCATAGTAGAAAATTGGGAAAGTATGGTGATTATAATTTCCCGGTCATCGATGGAAATTATGGAAAACGAAGGGAAAATTCTTCGTCTACTGCACCGTCGTCTTCATCTACGTCCTTGCAAAAGAAAGGAAAGGGAAAGCGTAAGGATACTCTGTCAAAAAAGAGCAGTGCGATGTTTAAAATACGTGAGATAATTCTTGAGGATGAAGATGATGATGAGATGAGCGATGAAAATCCGATTAGTGCGAATAATAAGCCAAAGAAACCAAGGCAACTTAGTGATGTTGTTCCACCTTTCCGACCAGGATGCGTGGATCTTGTTACCGAAGTAAAAGACGAGTCAGGTCGACATCTTGAAAGTTATGTGGAGACTATCGAAAAGATGACTACACCTTCGTCATTACAAGGACAATCTTCTTTTCCTATATTGGATCCATTTGTGCTTGGTGTTCGATTATCGCCAAATGTTCCCCTTCAACCACAAAATCATTATAATCATCCTGCTTACATAAATAAAACTAAAACAACAACACCACCGATAATAAGTTATCATAAAAAAGGGGAACCACTGTCAAATGGCATTTCATCAAATGGCAGAATAAAAGGATCAAATTACTTCATATCGAGTAATAATTCGCCGCCGCCGTCTTCTTTTAAAATTAGCAACAACAGTGGCAGCAATAACATCACAAAATCCAAACCGGTACCAATAAAAGGATCATCACGGCAATCAGAAAAGCGGCGAGTGGAAATTTCTGATGAGGAGGAGGAGGAGGAAAGTGATCCTTTGGGCGCGAGTCGGAACATCAATCATCTAAGTCAGTCTGTGCGATCTATTGAGAAAAATATGTGGAAGGAAGATATATGGAATAGTCGAGTCGATTAAATTGAGCATGGTCACGTCATGATTGTAATTATTATTATCAGTAGACAGAAGAGGATTGAATAGACTTTGATGATGAGTATTTGCTTAGTGCGTAGTTAGCTTGATTGGCATTGGTTTGCGAAGGATGTGTTAGTGGCGTATGAATGAATGATGAATTTATGAATAGAGATTGGCCAGAATTTTTATTATTATCACCTTCACCCATTAAACAAGAAAAAAGACTATCTTTTATATTCAGACACATCGATGAAAGAACGTACTCTTATTTCTGTGTATAGGATCATTATATATATTTTTTATTTTGATTTGCAAGGACTGACAATGAAGTGGCGCGAATAGATAACTTTTAATCGCGTTTTGTCACATTGTAAAATGAATAAAATTCAAGTTAAATAAAACTCGAGAATTTCTAATCTGAAAGCATTATGAAAAATGATTTTCGTTTCCTTATAGTAATAGTAATTATGTGTTGTTTACAAGGAAACTCAGGTTACCAATAACCATCGATACCATTCCCGCTTGAGAATCGCTTCTGCAAAGGACATAATCTGGGCCGACGCGTCACAAGTGACGCAGCGTGGCATGTATTTAGTTACGCTTATCAAGACAGAAGATATCGTCGATTAACCGATTCATTTCATAAAAATCAAAATTCCGCCGCAAAGCTCCTATGATCCGTTGCCAATCACAAATCTTCACCTTGTACGTCCCATAATATTTTCTTTCGGCATCACGTTAGATTAAATCATAGTAAATACATCATTTTGCCTATACTAGATAATAATATCCCTCCTGAGATATCACTTGACACACATCTGAGATTTTACCATTTTCCCTCTCCTCCCCTAGAATATTAGCTAATATCTGTCACTCCCCCTTATAAACCAGCAAAATGTAGTTACTTTACGCCCATCAAATAGTATACGGTCGTGCAAAACACCGTTCTCGAAATGAAATTATATCAAAGCGCAGTTTTAAATTGATCGTGATAGTTGGTTGATTCATGCAACACATAAAGAAACTCGAGCTCTAAGGGACATTACATAATATATCGATCTTAACATGCATTTCACTTTTAATGATAAAAATATAAAAAGCTGTAATAGTTGTATTAGATAATGATTACAGTCGGAAGCATCTATGTACACCCCAGTGTAACCTCAAATGTTAGTGTGTTTTCAGAAAATTCTACAGTAATAAAGATTAATGTTCAAAGTTGGTTTTAAGGTTAGGGTTAGAGGCAGAAAACAAGATTATATGTAAAATTGTCTTACCGACATTTTTTATTAGCACTCCAGACCAGATTTAGGTATTTGTTTCTTGTATTTTTTACATTCTCGCATTTTTTGTTTTGCCGGGTTGATCAAAAATTTATGCATTCTTATTGGCTGTTATTTGATCTAACCAAAACGGATTGGGGTGTATATAGATGCACTCGATTACAGTCAAGCCTAGATATAAGGGGACAACCCCAATATTTGGCGCTCCCTCGAATGTGTTAAATAAACTTCAATAAACTGAATGTTCACTCACAGCCTAGAAATATTTCGGTAGTGACTAATTTTTCTATCGAGCGGGAATTATTTATTAACCCTGTTTAATTCTAGAACATTGATAAATGCATCTGTTTTGAATCCCACACAAAATTCACTTATAAAGGAGTGTTCAAAGAGACGTTTACTTTGCCAAAGTATGAGTCGAAACGAAGATATTATATGGAAAAGACAGGGTATGCGTTTTTACACGGGACATCTTGGACAAAGTTGCGACAATTTTGAGACACAAAAAAAAATACAAATAACATAAAATTTTATTATAAAAACCTATTTTGAGTGACTAATTAAAAATGCTTAGAATCTCATTTTTCATATAACGGGACGAGACGGGACAGTCTCAAAAAGATCTTAGACATTCAAAATGTACAACACTGCATTATAAACTTCCTTGAGCGTGTATAAGAGGGCTATGTATTCACCTTTTTTTTTGATCAAAGAAAATTATCACGTCTTTGAATAATTGCTGATAGATATATCAGCATCTAATAAAGCTAAAAAGATATTCTACAACTTAAACAAAAAAAACCAGAGTTTTTAGATATATCAACATCTAATAAAGCTAAAAAGATATTCTACAACTTAAACAAAAAAAACCAGAGTTTTTAGTCCAAAGATCAAGATATTATCTGAGGCTTACAAAAAGCTGAAACGATGCTTCCTATATTGAATTCGCCACCAGTATTAATGCTGTATTAGATAGTGAAACGAAGGTACCGACAGCCAACGAATAAGACGTTTGGAACAGCTCATCCAAACATTGGTAGCCGAACAAAAGGAAGCGAGATGTGAATAAAATGTCATTATTACGGTCGAAATGGACATGTAATGAAAGATTGTTACATAATGAAATCTGATAATAAAAGAAAAGAGCGATCAGCTAATCAAAATTTGCGAAATGACACAAACTATTAGCATAGCGTGATCCATTCAAGGATATGATCAAAAAAAATTATAAATCAATGGCTTTTTGATAATACAGTCAAATCTTTGTATAGTCACCATTCTTGAAAAAGCAAACTTGGATGACTATAGAGAGATTGTGACTAGAGATTTTTTTACTATATTTATATATAAATAAGAAAGTAAAATAAGGTGATTATAGAAGAATGTAATTATAAACAGATATAATTATAGAGAAATTTAGTTATATTAATCTTGTTGTACAAAAAATTATTAGCTTTCAAAATTAGTTATATTTATTAGTTCAAACTAATTTTGATCTATAGTAGCAATCAAAAAGAATGGAATACTAAAACAAATTTATTAATAAAATATAGTAAAAATATAAAAAATATAAATTTTTCTTTTTATATAATTTTATTAATAAATACTTTTTATTTTTTTATTAAAATAAAAATAATATTATATATTTTAACATATTTTTTTCAGATTTTTAGATTTAATCTGATAAAATTATTTTAATTAACTTTATATGTAATTAAAATAACTTTATTAGATTAAATCTAAAAACTTTGAAAAAAATATATATTAAAATATATAATATTATCTTTATTTTGATGTAAAAATAAAAAATATTTATTAATAAAATTGAAAACTTTTATATAAAGATAAAAATTTATATTTTTTATATTTTTATTATATTTTATTAATAAATTTGTTTTAGTATGATGCGAAACATCTTAATTAACCAATAAAATTAAGTAATTTTAAAATTTATTAGTACTTTATAAAAAAACTAAATTAATAATATTATTCTTTAAGATAAGCTCTATTAAATTACCAGTTAGAATTTTAAAATAAGTTAAAATTAAAAAAATTACCAATGTAAAATTGTTACTAGTAATGATTACAGAATTTCTAGAAGTGATAACCAAAATACCAAACAAAAAAATGAAAGAAATTATTTAAATAGAAGAAGAATGAGCTAAAAAAAATTAATCAAATTTGAAAAAGTGAAAAAAAGACTTCTTAATGAAGTTTTTAGATAATATAAAACAGCTGCAAGTTATTTGAGACCAATATATACTAAAACTTCAAAATGACAATATAAAGACAAAAAAGTGAAGAGAAAAATATGCAAAGAAAATAAAAAAACTTAATACTTTTTTTTGATCAGTTTTTCAAGATATTAACGCATTAATATTCTTTTTATTATTATAACCCTTTTCACTAATTACACTTTTTTATCAGAAAATTCACAGATCTATTTGAAGAAATTCAATTAAAATATTCAATAAGAAAATTTACAAAGACAAGCTTTATATATAATTATTTGTATCTTCTGAGTACATGTTAATTTTTACAGTTATTGTTGAATAATGAGAGTAAGATTGATAATAGCAGTTAAATTGCACAAATTATATGAAATAAGAGAAACTATATAGTGTTACCATTTTGATAGAGCTTTCAAAATACTCAAAGGTATTTATAAAATTTAAGGAATATTCGAAGAGAAACTTCCAATGTCTTAACGATAATTCAAAGTCTTAATAATACTTTATGACTTTTAGACTGAATATAAATTAAAGTA